CATGAATTCAAGATTTAAAAATTCAACATTTCACTCTAAAAGTAATGAAATATTAAAGTCTCGAAATCATGAATTCGTGAACGTGAAATGTCACCACCGGTCTTTTGTACTTTGCAATTTGGATGATTTAAACTGTATTGCTACTAAGACTTGTACGGTGGTACGTCTATGAACTAAACTACACTTTGTATTTGAGTCGCCAAATGATGATATACTTTCCATTTTGATTCATGTACAAATAAACAATGTTCAGGGCTCATCATGATTGTTTCGGCACACATTTTCTGCAATGTATCCCCATTTCGCTCTTTTGAAAGATCAAAGGCAAATCAACATTGCAAAAAATGTATTGTCACTAGCGATTATTGCAAGGTGATGCTGTGTGGAGGGTTGTAAACACCCATTTTCCGTTTTTACTTTGGAATAAACCAATTTGAATTGATAAAATTCAGGATTACAGGCACTGATTAAGATATTTTGTAAGACAATATGGTCATTTCGATTTAACGGTAAAAAATATCGTACACATTTACGAATGAAAATCGAAACGAATCCGTTTAAACGTGTAACCGTTGGGGCATTACTTCTTAAAAGTATTTTATTTCGTTGAAAACGTTCGAAACCACTACCTAAATAGAATTAAAAATCTTACTACCTTAAAACCTTTACAAAATAGATATAATAGAAAGGAGGACAAATAATGTCTCAAATGACAAATACACGATATAGCGCTAGATTGATTAACAAGTTTACAAATCCCGACAAAATATAAACCTTTAAAATTTCACAGATCTTGTCAGAGTTTACACATTCGCGGAAGACGGTGCAGTTCTTTGGTGGGATATAACGACATTTTATAATATTTGTAAACCTATTTCTGTCTAAGTTCCTCATATTATATATTATACAACGTGGAAATAATACATTAATGTAAATGGATGATTTAAATAAATTAATAGAAAGTTAGTTAAATTCATTTCACATGATTGTAAATGTTGTTTTATGGATTATCTTATTATAACAGCAGGCTAATATTGTTAAGGTCTTCCAAAGTTGTTTCCAAGAAATTTGATTCCATACAGAAATCTGGTTGCCACGGCATCCAAAAGTAATTACAAGAAAAAATATTCTAAAATTAACAACGCCTATAGCAAATATATTTTTTTCATAAGGCATTGTATGGTAGACCTCTTCCAAGATAGTCAGTTATAGCCCTGAAATCAAACTTATCCACTACCCGTAGGGTGGGGGTGTCATTGATTTTCATTATTAATACAAAGTTAATCTTAAAATCTACTTGTCTGAAGTTACAAGGCCTAGGATTTTTGGTATTAGGTATATATTATAATCAATAGGTCCTCTACCAAAGTTGTTCAAATTTTGTCTCTAGTGTTAATATTAGCCCCATCCACGAGTCATAGGTTTATAGTTATATATAGTATATATAATTAAAATTGAAAAAAAAACTTCTTCTCTGAACTAACAAAGACTACAGGTTAGATAATTGGCAAGATATATTGTGTATTGAACCTCGACCAAGATTGCTCAAAGTAAAGCCCTAAAGTCAAAATTCGCCCCGCCCAAAAGGGGATCATTGATTTTCACTATGTACATTTATTAAAAAATGTTCTTTTCTGAAAGTGCAAGACCTACAGCTTTGACATTTTGTATATAATATCTTATAATACTACACTTTGAAACGTCACATTTCATTGGATAATCGTTTATATAGTTTTATAAACATGGCTGCTGTCGATTCATGAAGAAATCTTACTTTTTCTCCACAAAATGATGCTTTATGTATTATAAATTTGTTGTAAAGATTGTTGACAGGTTATATGGCCCTATATAAACGACTGTTTGCACGACAACCCTAGCCGTTTATATAGGGCCATATAACTTGTCAACAGTCTTTATAACTAATGATCTATAGGTCCTCTACCAAAGATGTAACAAAATTGCATATACATGTAGTATGAAAATTGGCCCCATCTCGGGTGACGAAGATTTTCACGATAAGGTATGTTGTAAGAAAATACAAAAAGCGTCTTCATTAAAATAACAAAGGTTAGAAGTGAGATATTTGGCATATAAAATTGTCTAGTAGGCCTCTACCAAGTTTGTAAAAAATTTTGCCCTAGGGTACAAATTGGCTCTGTCCCTAGGCCATAGATTTTCACTATATGGATTATGTAAATTTGAACTTTGGTATCATCTTACCTATATTTTGATGAAGTGATATCCTTTGGCTTTCTATATATATAGCTAGTACATTTTGACAATGTGTACATTTTCAGGTGTAGAACTGAAAATTGATATCAAATGACCTAAATATTGACCTACTTTCTTGTTTTTGATATGCAATTATGAAATTAGGACCATGTATATAGTTTAATTAAAAGATGAATCTTGCATGAAGTATGATCTAGTGACCAACATCATTCAAATTCTTATAATAAATACTAGCTACAGTACGCTCAGCGCGGCCTTTTCAAAACCCGCGTGACCCCGCGGATGAGGTTTACCGCGGACGAAAATTTGCTCAGATATTGTCCGCGTGACCCCGCGGACAGAAAATTTTCACCACCGCGGACATAAATCGGCGGCTGAAACCGTTTCCACCGCGGAACGCAGTGGTAAATTGCGGAGGAACGCGGCGGTCAAACACCGGTCAACGCGGTGGAAACCTTAAATTTTAAAAATTAATTACTTTATTTAAACATCAGTATACGTACGTACTGTAACATGTACTGTACATATAACTATATGTAAAATTTGTTTGTTTGTTTTCTTTTTGTTGTAATAAAAGTACATGTACAAATGTAGTGTATTTCTTGTTCTTCTTCTTGTTATTGTGTTGGGTAATGTATAATATGTATTCGACATCAATATAAATCATTGTCGTCGCAATTTCACGGTAGTGAGAAGTCAAATAATGAAAAATTCGGCATATGACATTTATGAAAAAGATACTGCAACAATTTATATGCCAGCTTTTGTTTCTTATTTAAAAACTTTGAAAACGTAACCCTCAACAATTTATTCAGGCAATATTCCAGGACGTCTCTTTCAATTGTCAGATGCGTTTTACTGTTTCTGTTTATTTGCATGTTGATCATAAAGTCTTATATTTTATTTGGAACATTAAAAGAAAGCGTTTATTTCACCAAAATATACATTAAATGATATTCTTGATTTATCTAATTACAGGTGTGAGCGTAATGTATATGTTTTGAAGTTTGTATCAACTGTTGGAGTTTATTTTCATTTTTGTTTTAGTACATGTAGTTTGTTTGTTTATTCTTTTTTATTTTTTTTATAGATTTTTTTGCAGAATTTTGTTAAACTTGACGTTATACTTTTTGTTATTTTATTATGAACAGTATGCATGTGCATACATGTATATAAGACAAACAAGCACATGGCAGTTATTTTCTAAGAACTTCCATCGACCGATGTTCAAGTTAAAACTATTTCATTTTATTTTTATTTTAAGATATTATTGTTCATAGGAATAATAGTATTTGTAGACAACATGTAGTTTTAAGTACATACAATTCAATATTAAAAACAACAACAAAAACAGGTACAGCTGTAATTATTTTTATTTCAAATTCCGTTCAAATAATTTCACGTATAATAACATTTAAGGAGACGATTGTGGTCAATAAAATAATTTCAAGTCATTGTGTAAAAAAGATGACGTTAAAAAATAATAAAACGTCTATTATTTTTGGAGGTTAATTTATACTGACCAACTGACCATGGCGTTCCCCTGCGGGAAACGGGTGACCGATTTTATCGAAGAATGCAGAACGGTCGTCAGAATTTTTGTCCGCGGTGGAAACAACTAAACACCGGGGATCGCGGGGAAATTAGGCTTCTCATCGCGGACGAACCCCCGCGTTTATCCGCGATAAAAAAAAATCGTCCGCGGTGGTATCGCGGAAAAAGCAAAACCCGCGGTGAGCGTACTGTAGCTCCTACTACTTTTACACAAATAAATGTCTGTCTTCAAGTGAGCGAGTGTGGGCTAATGGTCCCCTTGTTATGCATTTTTCTTAAAAAAGAAATTCAATAGGTGAGACCGTGAGAGTTTTCTAAAGGCCATGCCTCTGGAAAAAGATGTGTTTGCTTTTCAGAAAATCTTATGAAATTACTTGAGATCATGACCGCTCGCAAGAGTACTAGCGTTTGCTGGGATATTTTTTGAAATTATTTGAGCATATTTGAGCAAGGGAATTATGATCACACCATGTACATAATTAATATATTAAATCATTAGTTTCTTTTTTGCGTATTCTGAAATTAGAAATGCTTAATTGAAAAGAAGTGTTTAAGAAAACTAACTGTTACTGTATTTCTAAGTTTAATTCAACTATGTTATGCAGTAAATACTAAAGATTTCATCAAGTAAGAAAACTTTCATTTTGGAACGATTAGTATATTATCGCTTTTGTTTATTAACGTTTGACACATTTGTAGATTTCATTTGAAAGGCTGAAATATGACATGGAGCCATTACTTTACTAGAGATAACGACATTTTGGCAAAATCTAATGTTAGAAACAAAAACAAAATCTTCTGGCCCCAATATTTAGTGTTGTATTAATGCTGGTGCATAGCAATTTTCGCGATTGCAATCTTCTTGTATCTTTTTTCGAAATCTGATAAAATTTGTTCACATTAATATGAAAGTGTCGACAAGTGTACACATAAGGTGGTACAAACAAGCCTTAGACTTTATCTTCAACTTGAGAAATACGCAATATTTTTGTAAGTTACAGGGATAATAAGTGTTGCGAGATTTTGTCTAAACTGGTCTATGCATAATATATATTCTCTTACAAGAAACACTTTTACTGAGAATATATTCAAGTATCTTGATGCAGTATTAGCAGTATTACGACATAATCTCTAGATAAAAATCTATATTTACGCTTTTTATCGGCAAAATAAAAGAGATTTATGTATTTGATATTTAGCATATTTCTTTTCAGGTAAGCTTACAAAATGGAAAAGCTGCACAGTTACAATGCAATGTGCTCAACCCACACTGATGAAGTAGCAATAGCAGCGTGCGTTGACACAAAAGAACTTCTATGTTTCAAATGCAGTATGGAAAAAGCAAAGGCCTCAGTACCTGTTAAGGAACTTGAAAAACTGACTGCGGGAGTTGAAAAGCTCATACTTGATTCTTTAATGGAGAAGCAAAAAGCTCAGAGAAAGAACAACTATATTGACGTATACAAAAGGAAAGCAGAAGATGCCAAAGAAAAAGTAAGTGATCAAATTCATTGTTTTTATAACGAACTGTCAGAAAAAATCACTAAAATGAGAGATAACACACTTTTATCTCTGGAAGCAAAATACACTTTGTTTCTTGAAATGTGTAATAAAGACGAAGAAAAACTCAAGACTACAACACAAATGATAAATGAACACCTCGATAAGTTATCTTCAGCAAAAGAAGATGATCTTGATAAATTCAAAGCAGAATTGGAAGAGATCATGAAGAAACTAGATGACATTGCTGATCATGAATCTTGTCCTGAATCAGGTTTTCATGCTTCAAAAAAATTGAAGGAAGTAATACTCATGCCAGAGAGCAAGATTGGAGAAGTCAGTTTGTATGCAAATGATCATTACGAGAAGCTGGGGCCAACAGAAGGTACGGAAAATAAAACAAAGCCCGATGAGACAATTTTTGAGGAACCACCGCCAGTCATACCTCCGAAACCCGAAAGTAAGATAGTTGATTCGGATGAAGTCTCTTATGTAAAACCAAAAGTAATTCCACGTAAAAAGAGTAGTTCAAGTAATGAGTCAGGTTGGCAAGTACCTGAAGACAATCGGAAATCAGAAGGCGATCAAAATGAGACGGCAAAAGAAGAAAAACCACGAAAAAGGTTTTTCCGTTGGAAAAGTAAACCAGATAAACTAGAAGGTAAGCTACAAGATTATGAAGAAGTAAGTTTAACAAATGAAAATCAAGAACGGGAGGCAAGGTATTTAGTTAATAAAACAGTAACGCTGACTGAGTTTCCAGGTGGTTTAAATACCTCATTTAAATTCACAAAGCTTATTCCAATCGGTTTGAATAGAATTGGACTTTTAAGCCAAAATCATTCAAGTATTTTTGTTTGTGGTCTGGACGGAAAGATTCAGTGTACTAACAACTACCACAAAGACGCTGTTATCAGCATTGTGGAAATGACAGATGATATGATAGCGGTACTCAACAAGACGGAAACGTCAATTGAAACAGTTAAAGTTACAGACAAGACATTTGAAGTGAAAAATACTATTAACTTTAAACTGGATATTTCAAAAGTCACGGGATTTGATTATTCAAAAACAAAATCCCAGTTTGCTATTGGGACCGAAACGGAATATGTCATTCTTGATAAAAAGGGAAAGAAAATCAAATCCATGAGAATGGAGACAAGTCTGGATTCTAAAGACGTCTTTACAATTTATGATTTTGAAAAAAGCAACGTTTTCATTATCAATAAAACAACAAAATCTCTGAAATGCGTTGGTTTTCAAAATGCGGAAGGTATCTGGAAACGAAAGTGTGAAGACCCATTGTTTCAGCCAGAATCAGCATGTTTGTACCAAGGCAAGCTTTACATTGCATCTTCCCACGCAGTCATACAATTTTCGACAGCAGATGGAAAGCCAGAAAGGAAACACGAAACTGATGATCTTATACAGAACTGTTTTGGGCTCTGTGTAATAGATCGTGTGTTTGCGATTTCTTCGAATTCACCCGATTGTGAAGAATCCAAAAAGCTAGGTTTTTTGGCTCTGTAAAGATTGGTGTAAAATAGTACGTGGTGTAGGTTTGAAGCATTAAACACTGTGTCAAATCTAAATGAATATAAGAGGCTTAGAAATGTTGTTTCAAAATACTAATAATACTAACATTTTTAAGTTTGTAAACAAATTTACTATAATGTAACTGTACAACAACCGAAAACAGTTAAAGTAAACGTACTGGCACGACACCATCTACTTCCGGTCTTACGCACCTTACGCTTACTTTCTTCAAAATGAAAAATGATCTTTAACAACTTGCAAATTGCACGCATAAATTCAAGAAATTTATTTGAGCCTCCAAATAATTGTTTATTTAATGTTCTTTTTTAAGGTGTATAGTTTGCTGATATGTGTGTGTACTCTTTGTTTAAGTAGCTATAGTATATTTCATCAGGTTAAGCTATGGTATATTTCGCCATGTATAGCTATGGTATACTTTATGATATACATCTACGACATCATTTTCAACTTTGATATATTTTATTATAACAAGCTATGGTATATTGAATCATGCGCAGATCCATTATATCTAATCATGTATATAGTAGTCAGTTTGGTGTGCCCTTAGTATTTTGTCAATCAATTCACAAATCTAAATTTTCGCTTTGCTTTGTAATGCACAGTCAAAATGACGCTCAGAAATTGATCCGATGACATGTTCACTGTGAAATACAAACCAAACTTCAATTGATAAGGTGTATCAATATAAGCGCTATATACTCTCGATTTATTATTTTATTTTTCGAAATAAATTAAGTTAATTAATTTAGTTACAATCATGTATACACAATCTTTATGACAGTATTTTAGTTTAATTTCAGATCGATTGGGGTAAAGGGGAGTCTAGGGTTATGGCCAGGTAACGTGCTGAACATCTTTGGTAGGTCTACGGATTATGAGTAAGTAAATTCGAGCATTTGGCGACGTTCCTGTTCATTAATAGCTGTTCGGTAGAGAATATTTATGTTTAGCAGTAAATTACAAAGAACACGTATCGGTTGGTACTGATACAAAAACCAGGAACACTGTTTAGGTCAACCGCCCGCCGTAATACAACTGAAATGGTTTTGGAACGCGATGATAGAAATAAGTGCTCCTCCAAAAAAAAATATTAAGATAAATACGCGCTTAACATGTGACCTACTACAAACGCACTGTTCTTAAAAGATATAGGTCTTACATACTATGCTTTTTTGTTTAATATAATGTCGCTAAAAGAGTTGTGTGTTTGTTTTGCATTCATAAATATATAATTAGATATTGCTTGGTATGGGGTAAAATTTTAATTTTGGTTTAGTGTTTTGCTTGAACACATTACATACCATGACCCTAGACCGTAACTTGCTTATTACAGAATCTATTTATGAAAGATTATTTCAATTATTTTAATTATATGTCATGCGAAAACGATTGGTCATAATTATATTTGTTATGGTGAGTGGTGAACGTGACAATAAAAATATATAAGCTACGTTTTTATTCAAGAACACACTATACAAGTTAAAGAGACTTCCGACTTGTAAAATAACAAATGGAACTTTTTAAAAGCGTAATTGCAATGATTGATCCATAAGAGATTAACCCTCACTCTTTAACTCATTTTGCCATGAACACCAGCCTTCACTTAACTCTACTGATAATTGCTAATATTCAACTCCTGTGTACTTAACCGTCCGGTAAACACACTAGGTAGAGCGTTTGAATGTAATTCTGGCCACCCGATTTCGATTCGTTTATTTTTATAGTGATTGATCATGAAATCCTGTCATTCGCACTTTTTCTTAATGATATATCTTTTTGTAATTAAGTCATATATGTACCCAGTAACCTTGTTGGACAATACGTCTGATTTTTTCATGTACTTAAATATAGAAAAAGAACATTGACACTTTGATTTTGAATAACAAAGCATGCGAAATTCAAAACCGCAAATCGATATTGTTTAATCGCCCACAACGTTAAATAATCATTATGCAGTGAAAGTGTAAAGTCTTTATGCTAAAAGATCATTTGAATTTGAATAAATATACTGAACAAAAAAAGAAAACTTCCCCTGTGTTTAAGCGGAGATATAATGTTTATCTAAAATAATGTCAAAAGAGCTACATATATTCGGGCGAACGATTATGTGTCCGATAGAACAAATTTTAACTCGATTTTTACTCGTTTTGCAGGAGAATCCCACTGTATGCGATTTCACGTAAACTCCGGACCAGAAGTATTTTTGACATGCCAGATTATGCAAACATTTTCGCGTACGTGCCATTGACATCAATACTGTTCGACACCTTAGGCAACGTTTTTAAGCAACAGAGTGTACAGAGATCGGCCACGTAGTGGACATCGGTGCGTTAAGACTCGTGTCCAATACCGCCTTATTTGGAACACTCACCTGCGCAGTTGCCACAGCTACTGCATGACTCGAATATACCGTTGAAGAAATGAACGTTTTTCCTACTACTGCAGGTGGGGCATTGTCTTGATATAAATGGCTTTCATACTAATCACGTCGTTATCGAAGGATATCTTTATGCCCAACGGTACTGAAATGATATTTTTGCGAGGCATGTTATCTCACTTTTTCATAAAAATGCCAACATTACCCTTTTTCAAAATGATAATGCCACACGTTATGCAGCTAGGGACACTGAATTTCTTCAGGGTGAATAAAATTGTATTGATAAATGAGTGGCCTTCCAAAACGCCTGATCTAAATTTCATTTAACACCTGTTGGAGACTTTAGACAAGCGTATCAGACCTCGGCCTTTTCCACAAACATCATTCAAGCCTTAACTCTGGAATGGAATAGCATACTGCGAGCCGAAATTAATATGCTGATTCGTTATATGTGCCAACAATGCCAGGCAGTCCTTCATGCTGAAGATGGTCATAAACGATATCAATTGATGATTTTGTTTACCCCTTCTGCATTTTAACTACCATTTTCCTTTCATTTGAATAACCACTCACAAAAACTTGCGATATTTATACTCTATCAATACATATAAATCAACTTATGAAATCCTGATTGGCATAATTTTTATGTGTGTATAACTGCACTTAAATACACTGAAAGCTTCTTTTTTTGTTCAGTATATACATGTATAACGTAGCTCCGAATTTCTTTATTTAATTAATCTTTTATGTTGCTACTTATAAAAAAGCAAACAATGTCGTATAGTTTGGGTGTCAAAGGTATCATCTGTTTATCTATCCATAACCACGGTGCATAAGAAGATATTTGTACAACTCCGTGCATTATTTTATAAAGGATTGAGACGAAACAGGAAGATTAAATAAATATCTCTGACAAAAGAGACTTCTCATTAATCATGTATTGCTAAAATGTCATTTTAATGGGCTATATCATTTTTAACCATGCTGATAGTGATTGCTTTTATTTACACTGGTAACCAAATAACAGATAAATTAGATAGAACAAATATTAACCAAAATTACATTATTTCTTTTTTATTATTTCATAAGTTTTTGTATAAACTTATAATTATGTATTTCAAATACCTGAAAATAAGATAATATGAACCTGCTGTAAGACTGATAATGAAAACTGAATGTAATATGTATAATTATATTCTCTTTAACACTATTTAGTTATCCGTTATCCTAAAATATTATATACCTACTACATCGAGGACAATATGTGTTCATTTGTCATCAGAATACATTTGTTAAATGTTAACAACTTATCTGCTTCATATGAAACCTGTAAAACATTTGAAATGAACAATGTTTATTTTCGTTTTTTGTTTTTTTATCATGGTTTTTTTTTAGGAGATTACCTCTCTTTATTTGTTTTTGGTTTTAATACAATGTACCTGATAGACAAGTTAGTTTATATTAGTTCAACTGTAATGATTGAATATTAGACATTCTATGAACCAGCGTTATTTATCATGATAGAATAATTTATCTTAACGTGTGTAACTCTTTGTTAGTATTGAAAGAAATGTTTTTGAAACTAAATTAACATTTAATTTACTCGTCTGATGAATAATATTTGTCAACGTATTTATTTTGACAACACAGTTACGAAGTTAGTACTTATTTACTTCCGTTTTAAGAAATAATAAAATATGTGTATAAGTCCAAAAATGTTTACGTGCTTGCTTAAACATAGTGATTGTTTTCTTAACTTCATTATGTTTTAGTACATTGTTTATTATTATTCGGTAAAAAGGATTTCTTATAGAATGTCTATCTAGTATCTCCCCATTACATGGCAAGCAGTTGAACGTCATATATAGAAAATACCACTCATGAGTCTGGTATTATATGAACATCACTTAAGGCCGTGGATTAAAACAAGGGCGAATCTCTGCAGAGCATTTCATATTTTCTATAGTGAGCTTGATAAGACATCTATTTGGTATTGTATTCATTATTATTGCGTTTTTTGTTATTTTTATTTTTTTTTTATTTTTAAGGACACAAAAAATTATCAAGAACTCCGCGCGCTGTAAATATGAATTTATGTATAGTAAAGAGTCATATCTGTCAAGTGTAGTCCCGGATGTTAATTTTAAATAGACTATAATATTCCAAAATCTATTCTACTCAAATTTTATTGGTTAAATATTTTCAAACTAGTAGGAAGTAAAATATACCGTCTTCATTCTAATCTAGATTTATCAGGTATTGGCAAAATAAATCAATGCAAATACATAATATATTCATAATCAGTAATATGATTAAGTGCATAACAGGTAAGTAAAGGATATAAAGGAAGTTTTCATTGATATTTAATGTTAAAGCAGCACGCCTTCAGATTTCTACTATCGTGAAAATTTTGAAATTGTAAAACAAATATTTTGTGAAGTGAACAAAAAAAATAATTTTCATTGCAAAGGCACTTACAACCAATGTTAATTAGGATAAAAATAAAGTTCAGTTTCGGTTTCCGCTGACCCTCTTAAATTCCAGCCGACCTTAACTTTTTTTCGCCTTATTGAACTTCTAAAACCAAGATAGTTGTATTTCCAGAAGGGAGACAACGAAATTATCATTTCACTTATAAAAATGAACCAATCGAAATTGTAAATGAATATAAGTACCTCGGCATATTTTTTAATAGAAGTGGTTCGTTCATTAAAACTAAGACACATATTGCAGAACAAGCTACACGATCGATGTACAGCCTGATTAGAAATTCAGAAATTCAGAAAAATAAATTTACCAATTTACTTACAAATTGAACTTTTTAACAAAACTGTTAAACAAGTATTATTTTACGGTTCTGAAAATTGGGGATACGGTAGTCTTGACGTTATTGAACGCGTACAACTCAAATTTTTAAAACATATCCTTAAACTTAAACGTTCGACAGCCAGTTATTTCAGATACGGTGAAAAGGGATGCATGCCATTGTCCGTAGATATCAGGGAAAGAAAAAATTCATTTTTGGCGCGTCTCCTTCAGAGCAAAAAAGGTTTAATACCAAATCAATTGTAAATATCCGTGGATTTATAATTCAAAATCAATACTAATAAAAGCGGTTTAAACAATGTTTGGAATGATCTTTTCTTAAATGAATGACATTCAAAGATAAATGAATCGAGCAATAGTTCTTTTTACAAAAAAATAAAAAAGTCTTTTGGAATTCAACCTTATCTCTCGTACCCCAAAAATACAATACTTTTTAATTTATCAAATTCAGAACAAGAAACAATAGGTTACCAGTTGAAACAGGAAACTGAACAAATGTAACTGTTAATGAAAGAATGTGTATTTTTGCAGAAATATAATCGGTGATGAGTTTCATTATCTTTTAGAATGAAATAGATTTTCTTATGAAGACAAATATATTAAACCCTATTTTTAAAGACATCATAATATGTATTAATTAGAACATTTTTTTTTCAATGAAAGACTCACCAGCATTTTAAAAACTATGCAAATTCTTAGTGATCATTATAAGAAATGTAATTATGTAATCACATATTTATGTTAACTTAGCATTTTAAAGTCAGTTGTGATTTTGTAATTTTCTGAGATATGATTTTGTTTTACTGATATTCACTAATCACTTTCTTAATTACTATACATTAACGGTCCTTTATGCCTCAGATATACTTTTATTTTCGTTTCTCAAAAGCCTAATTTTGCTGTTCTTTAATAGTACTCAAAATGTTAATCACTGGCATATTACATGAAAGAAATACAGTTATAGTGAATTAGTGTTTTAAATGGAAGTAAAATGCTACTTTGTTCACATTTGACAACTTTTATGACAAATAATATCACATTTATTGCAACTTCGTCTGGTACCAAAAATATATTATTATGTTAAAGCATTATTTAAAATAAAATAAAAGTAAAAATGTTTCTAAGGCAAAATGTGCCTCTGATTAAATAACGTGTAATAGATATGTTGATATTGTTTGGTAACTGTTGTTTGATTTCAATTTGTATGTTCGTTGAACATTTTGACATTAATCCTCATATCACATATTGTATGCATGTTTGAATGAAAAAATATGTTGTTGTTGTATAAAATAACAACAAAAAATGGCTCATGTGAGTAAGTGGACAAATTGAACGACTAAATCGTCTGAACATCAAAGCGAATTTCGTCCTCGCCGCTTTTTTTACTTATCGCACATACAAATCTTTACGTATCACATAGCCCTTGTCAATACATTTAATCCTCGCCTCCGGACTTAGCTTTAACCTAATTGGTGGTACACAGAATTTAACGGACGATAATTGACTGCAATTAACACATTATTAAATTTATGTGACATTATACAAGTTTAAGTTTTCAAGTTTATTTATCTTTTCCCAGAAGGTCATAGACACATGTGGTACTATATGCAAAATATATATTATGCCAAACATGCATGAATACTAAGTTGACATGATCTCATCCATGCATTACAGTAGCACATTTTACATAGGAAATGAAAACATATATTCACCTTTTACATGATGTACATGTTTATAATAATTCATATTCTTGTCGTATGTGCCAAAAGTATATATGCAACATAAGATTTAAAAGAATACTTAAGTGTGACAAAGATCCAATTGTACTGACTGTACATATTACATTAGATCTATCACTAGTGAGGTAGATAATTTGACAGATTAGAATCTTTCTTTCTCCGTTGAATATTGAATTAAAATCATGTTGATAACGAAAGTGTGAATTTTACATACATTTTTACATACTGCATACACTATTTTTGACAATAGTAATATTTAAAGCATTTATTTAACAAATTTGATTGTGCATGGGAGATAATTGCTATGGTCTTATCGCTCAACCTGTATATCGAGTTATGTAACATCCGCCGCACCATAGCTTTAACAAAATATTGACATACAATATAATTTCTTAACATAATTAACTGCAGTTATCTAATAAAAAGGAACAAATTTGTATATAAATGTGTATTGTCCAAACAGTTTGGTTACTGATAGCGAACTTTACATATTGTGCGATCTTTTTGGGAGATAATAAATATGGTCATATCGACTGACCTATATATCGATTAAGTTGTGAAACGTTGCACAGTATAGAAATAGACACCGCTATATCGATATGATAGAATATAATATATTTATTAACTTGATTAACTTGATATCCTAATCAAAATGGGTTAAAACGCTATATTTATGTGCATTGTCCAAACAAATGTATATGGCGTTACTGAGCTACTTTGTATGAAGAATAGATTGAAAAGTTAAGGGGCACAATCTTGTCAAAAGCGAAATACAAGATTAGCCACCCGGTAAATTGCACTTTAGTCTAAAGATGTATGTTTACTTATGTATTTCCTCATTCCCAGATCTTGCCATCAATGACAAGATATGAGGAGGAACAATTAGATAACAGCAGTTTCGCTTGTAAAATAACATCTAGATATACATATATTTGAGCTTCATCTTCTAACACATTGCAGAATGTGCATTTGCGCTCATTTATAGGTACACTGACAGGTCTTGCCCATTTTCCTGTTTCAATACATAATCTATGCGAGGAGCATCGCAGTTTTGTCATACAAGTACAAAATTTTCTTACACCCATACATTTTAAATATGGCTGTAGTTGAAATTGTGAAATACATTTGTAACATGAAGCTCTAGTTGAATCATTTAGTCTACCAGTCAAATTTTGAATAAATTGATCTTTAATTCTTTGTTTAACTAAACTAAGAAATACTTGGAGCCATTGCGTCAGAGTTGTATACATGTACATCGAAATTATTGTCACGTGTTGAGAAAATATTTGATATAGGTTGATTGATGAGTTTAATTTAGTGTAAAATAAAGTTGATGTCTTGCAAGTAAGACTTGCATTTTAACATAGATTTATAAATGATAAATAGACAACATGTTTTTAAAAAGGAGCAAAGAACGGTGTGTTTTTTTTCAATGAGATAAGTTTACACTGATAATTATTAAGGAGTTATACCATGGACAAGAATTATCATAAAAGTAAGTATTACAGAGAGATAGTTCAAATACAAGGCTAGATAGGATCATATTTTCTCAACCATGCATTTTCATTATAATAACCTCTATCATCATGAAAAGAAAAACACCAACATTTTTTTCAATTTTTTCTCTGGATAATCATTATTTAATACAATGCATTATAAAGAAATGTAACATAAACCCTACGCTTAAAACTATTATATTCTATCATTCTGTAAAATCCATTCGACGTTTTTCAAGTTTTTCGCCGGACAATCCTGAACAATAATCATAGAGGTGATTAAACAATAACCTTCATTTATGGCTCCTTTACTCTGCGCTATCACTTACTTGTCTTCGTAGCTGTGTCAATTTTAAATGGAACATCATTTATAGTTTAGGACTTACATTACGTGCAAGTTCTATCAAATTACTGTCAAGACCTTAACCTTTGATGTTAAATTCGTATGGCAGTACAAACGAACTGACGTAAGATTTCGCAAAGCGCTGAATATTTGCTCCCCTGCCACATATCTGAGCATAACAAACCTATAAAACAAAGCATTCATGTACAAGTTATCTTCCCACTTGTTGTCGTCATTGTCACGAAACTAAAATATGATGCTACGCAATTTGGATTACATAGAATATATTGCTACACAATTTGGTTAAGTTAATTTATAATGCTACATAATTGGGATGAGATTAATATGTTGATTCTCCCTGTTTGAGCTTAAGGTCACTTTGGTC